GCACCTCTTTCTCTGTAGGATAGTAGGTTGAACACCTCGATTCTATCCTAGTGCTTTATTTCACTCCAACCTCTTTACAAATTATACTTGTTTTAACAATAACTTAAATTTTTATTTAAAAATTATATTATATACCCATCGAATTTAAATGATGACGTGTCATCTTATCCACACAGCAAAAGCTACCGTCACCCCTGAGTCCACCAACTTTCTGTGGGCTGAAAAACGATTTTTCTTTTTTAATTTATATATATTTTTAAGTTGGGATTCTATTTGAAGAATCCCAGTTTTCGAAGTTTCCAGAAAAATGAAATTTATTTACGTTAATTTCTCAATAATGGGAATTTTATATTTTAGTCTATCATTTAAAAAAAAAAATGTAACAAATATTTAAATTAATGAACTAATTGATATAATTATTAATTTAAATTTAAAATTATACACTACAATTATTTCTTGAACACTTTAATTGATACCATCTAAGTCTATATATATATATATTTTATTTTAATTATAACTAGTTCACTACAAAATCAATTAAAAAAAATCCATTTTAGTTTTAATACAATATTAATTATAATATTTATTCATGTAATTTAAAGTTTAAAATTAAAATTGATTTAGCAGGTATTTGATTTATTTCCAAAAATATATTTTTGTAAGTTTTATAGTATTTGACAGCCAATATTAACAATTTTGAAATTTAGATTCATTTTTGTTTGTTTCTACGCCAAAACCAGTGACAGTCAATTATTCCAGGGGCTATTTTATCACTATTAATATTTTTTGTTTACATAAATAAATGAATATATAGATGTATTATTCTATCTTTATTGAGATATAAAAAAATTATTGAATATTTAATTTAAAAAGTAGGATTATCAAATTCCAAATAAAATAAATAAATAAAACAAAATCGCAATGGATTTCTCCTCCGCACATTCTCCAACCAATCAGCAACCTCCAGCGAGGCTATTTCCCATTTGAAGGGAGGGTTTTATGGTAATTGCGCATGTAAACTTGTATATTTGTTTGGGCTTCGCACGTGCCACCAAAGCCGCCTTATTCGCGCAGTTAGTTTTTTCCACCATGGACCGCCTGGAGTCTTTTAAAAATTAAATTTAATAGGCTGAATCAGGTTAAAACCAGACGCGCCGACATGGTCGTAAAACCACCGACTGACAACGCGCTTCTACCCTTCGTGAAGTACACGCGCAATTAATATCTTTCTATATAACTCCCTTCGTTTTCCCTTCCTATGTCTCTATCGCGCTAGAATTGTGAATTGTTGTTCTTGAATTCTCTGTGTCGACATCTTTTTTTTTTTTTATTCCCGTTGGTGGTTGTTGATTGAAACCTTTCGGATTTTTATTTAACGGTGAGTGTTTTTAATGTTTGGATGTTTCTAATTTCTTAATCTTGCTTTCGCCTTCGTTCTTCGTTTGAATTGTGTTAAGGTTTTGTTTCAATGTATGGATTTTTGTTCCGATTTTGAGGAATCGAATGTTTAATCTTAATCTGTGCGTTGTTTGGCGTTTGGTGAATTCGTTTGGCTTCAGTTTCAACTGCCCTTTTATTCTTTCGATGGGATTCGACCTCGGGCGGTGGTGGATTTTTTACAGTTTTGATCGGAAAATGGTCTTCTACGGGCCGCCTTTTGATCTGAACTGCATGATTTTGTGGAGAATTTGTATGTTTGTGGCGTTTGGTTTTTTAGCCTAATTTTCCTCAGAGATTTTCAACTTCGAGGTTTACATATGATTTGGGGTTTTGAGATGATTTCTGAAGGACTTGGTTCCTATTTGCATCCACGTTTTTCTCCGTTCTTCAGTATTTTGAGACATTAATTCGACGATTGATTGTTATTTGTTTGGAATTTTTTTTCCCTCTGCAATTGGTTTGCTAGCTTATGTGGTTCTTATCTGTCGCCTAAAAGAATGTATCATTTTTGTCTCTTTCCTTAAATAGAGGGCGTTCTGATCCACGATTCTGTTTTGCGGGAGCCCATTTTTGGATGTTTTCTATCCACATTTATTGGTTGGGCTTTTCTATGACAACTTTCCAAATGTATCTACAAGTTAATGGTATCTTCCGTTCAACATTATACATTGATTCCAGTCATTGTGTCTATTGATCGGCCCCTGTACTTTTGATATCAATTTCCATCTTTTGTTGTTAACAATCCGTTGGTTGAACTTGGCTCGTGTTGGTTGTGGACAGTCTTGGAACTTGAATTTTGTATCCAATATGTTGTAGCTTAGTTATATCTTAAATATCCCATGGTTTAGTAATTGTTTCACATCGATTACCTTTTGTTGATTGTTGAATATTTGATTTCTTTTGGACTTTGGCTAATTCATCTCCTGATTAAATTACCTGTTGGGAATCTTGGCCTGTGTGTGCAGCTGATTTTACTCTCTAGTTTACTCATTTTTCTAGGATCTCATCGTCCCAATTTATCTTTTTATAAACAGAACTTTTGCTATTTCCATGGATCAAACCTATTCTTCACCTGAGGCATACTTAGAGTCTGAACAAGATGTCTCTCTTAAGCAAAACTGGAAATCTATGTCAGCCCAGTCAACTGTATCCGAAGATGCAAATGGTTGCTTCGATTGCAACATTTGCTTGGACTCTGCAGCTGACCCTGTTGTCACCCTCTGTGGTCACCTCTTCTGCTGGCCCTGCATTTACAAATGGTTTCATGTACAAATCTCCAGCATCGAAACCGAAAACACACACAACTGCCCTGTTTGTAAGGCTAGCATCACTCCCTCCTCTTTGGTTCCCCTCTATGGCCGTGGCAAGTCATATTCAGATTCTGAATCCAAGAAGTCTCATTTGGGTATAACCGTACCTCGAAGGCCACCACCGTCCATGAACACCCCGCCCCATTCCAATGCTGCCTCTGCATTGCATCCTAGTGAGGAACTTCATCCAAATTATATCCGCTCGCCATTGCACCGCATCTATCACCAACAATATTTCCCTCAGGCGTATGGTAACTTTGCCCCATACGCACCATCTTATCTCGGCAATGCCATGGTAACAAGTCTGCTAAACCCGACGATTGGGTTGATAGGAGAAACGGTTTACACAAGAATTTTCGGTAGTGCAGATGGGAGCTTGTTGCCTTACCCGCCTTACAACCACTTGGTCGCAGGGAATGTTGGCACCAGAATGAGAAGACAGGAAATGCAGCTTGATAAGTCTCTGAATAGAGTTTCCATCTTTCTATTTTGCTGCTTTATCATCTGTCTTCTGTTGTTTTGAACTGAGCAGTAGATATTTCTTGTATGGAGAAGCATCATATGATATAAAGATAAGCACAGCTAGAATTTTGCTAGATGATTTTTACGGTGAGAGATCATCGATATGTACAGAAGGGTCAGCTAATATCACATTATTTAGTAGTTTCTTTTGGTGCTTGTGTGGATTGCTTGTTTATAACACTAACCCTGTTTTTCTCACCCCAGAAGTCTAGTAATTTATATGATTCAGTTTTCATTCTTAATTTTGCTTTTCTTCTTGATATTGGTTCATCTGGGTATATAAGTCATGATATTATGCTGGTGCGATTTCATGGAAGATATAACTTTGTCATATGCCTTACTCATTTCGAGTTTTATGGCAATGACTCTTCCTTACCCCTCTCGTCTTACTTTTTATGGCGAACATTGTCACAAAAGCAGATTGAGTTGGTGAATCACCTTATAAAGCACCATTTTTAGCACCATTTTTAGCCCCGAGAGCTAAATTTGCCTCAATTGTATGTCTCTTGCACTGAACTTTCCTTAAAATAGCAATTAGCTTCTCTATTTTAAGAGATTGCTAAGCTTCTTGTGGATTAACCTCACTAGATTGCCTATGCAATCTTTTCGTGGATTAACCTGGATTAACCTCACTAGATTGCCTATTCTAGAAATTCATTTTGGACAATTGAACATTCTCAAACTATTCTTTTTAAGAACTAAAAAGATTTGTGCCAAACTAATAGATAAAAAAAAGAACAGAAGCCCTTGGACACGAAATGGATCTTGAAGGACTATTTCTACATCTCCCTTACGGAAGGACTATTTATGCATCTCTCTTGCCAAATCCTTTCATATTAGGCCGAATCCTTCCACATTAGGATCTCTTGCCAAATCCTTTCACATTAGGCCGAATCCTTCCACATTAGGATCACTCGTTAATGGTTGATCCAGTTTGATAGATTGGCCCTCTGAAACAAGAAGTTCTGGTCCTGGAGGAAATTCAAAATACCGCAAAGATTGACTGACAAAATATTTCTATAGAATTGATAAATATTTCTATAGAATTGATAGATCGATGTGGGAGCTCGAATTACATAGTTTTTTTTTAGTGTTTCAGAGGCTTTGAATACATAAATATTATGAAATTGAGTTTTTAAGTTACTTTCTTTTAATGAATTACAACAAAAGGTAAGAACATATTTAAAATTTTCACTTGCTTCAAGAAGTTCCAAATTCTTGGGTTAACTGCCCATGCAATAATCTGTTAAAAAATAACATTGACCCCACAAAAAGTTCCCACTGACCCACCACAGTAAAAAATTTAAAGCGAAACTTCCAATTCTCTTTAACAGTAATCCATAAGGTACGCAGCTTAATATCCACCGTTGGATGAACTCAATCAGTGTAGTCAACGAAATTTCCACAACATCGACGGTCACAACAATATCAACAGTGTAAAACCGACAAAGTCCGTAGGTCGGTGGAATAATCAGAGACTTAAACCTTAAACCCTAATTATATGTATGCAATTTAATATCAGATACTCCCATGCTGGCTGGCTCGCCTTTTACTAGTTCAACGGCTCGTTTCTCCACTCACTGCTTGTTTGAAAGGGTAAAAAAATGAGTTCTTTATCCAAATTTAATGTTGCCCATCACTAATTAAACGTCTTTATCCCAAATTATTCCACGAATGTCTTCGATTCATTAAAAACTTAAAAGGTTTCTTTAATTGTTCTTTAGCTGAGCCCCCCGAGACACTACAGTATCAATGTCCAGAAGCCCGAAGGAAAAATCAGCGGAAAGATTCCAAATCTGAAACCTTTTCTTTGTTGCTTTTTTCTTTCACACTGTGACCCCATTGCCCTCCTTTGAACCCTTACTTTACTACTCCCATTGCTCTCATTATACTTTTCACTTGATTCTCTCTGTGTTTCTGCTTGGAAGGGGAAAGCAGGGTGTGTGAAGATGAGGGGTCCTTTAGGGGCAGTGATTGGGAGGTACCCCTCAAGTGATGGGAGTGCCCAAATGGGTGGGATCATTAGCCACAATAGAAAATGCAGGGATCTTGTGTTTCTTCTCATCTTTATAGCTTTCTGGGTTGGAATGATTGTTAACTCCAGCTTTGGATTCAACCAAGGAAACCCATTAAGGTAAGAAATCTAATGCTACCCTCTTCTTTTAGTGAGCTACTTCAATGGTTTCTGTATGTTCTTGCCTTTTTTCTCTTTCATTCATGGAGGTCCCAGAAATCTCTAAAGGGTTTTACCATTTATGGGGTATGGGGTAAGAAACTAAGCATAAAAATCTCTCGTAGCTTCGCTAATTACCTAACTGTTTGTGGGTCTCTTCGTGTCGTTCGGAAAGAGGACTCAATGATTATTTGTTTGCATTAACCAGAAGTCAAAATTTTGGTAGATAGGGATATAGTAAAAACTTCTAGAGGAATGGGCCCATCCGAATCATTTCTCGAGAACAATAGCTAAGGGTCCTGATCCTACCACTTTGGAGCTGGAACCTTCCTGCTGATGCTCACCTTCCCACATGAATTCTGCTATATCGTCATTTCCCACCTGATATTATGCTGTGTAGTACAACCTAACACTCAAATGTTTGGCCAGATTGCTGCTGGTAGTTTCATTGGGCCTTCTTTGTTTGTTCCCTCTTGCATTTTGAAGGAAATTTTGCATATGGGTAGGCCATTTTCATTCTTTCTTTAGTTTGCCCGGGTGATATTCCACATTGGTTGGAGAGGAGCACGAAACACCCTTTATAAGAGTGTGGAAACCTTTTCCTATTAGACGCGTTTTAAAGCCTTGAGGGGAAGTCCAAAGAGGACAATATTTGGCTAACAGTGGGCCTGGGCTGTTATAGCCTTGTTTCAAGTTTATGTGTAAACTGACATTATGTCCTTGATGAACTATAAATCCTGTAAGATTCATATAAAACCCTTTGGAACTGGAGAACCAAATGCTCCCTCGCCCTCGTATCGCTTCATCGCTATAACTTTTAATGGTCATGGTTTTCCCATACTGTGATTTGGTTTAGTAATTTTCTTGTAACAGTACCTTTATCCTACTGTTCATCAGGCTTACATATGGACTAGACTACAAAGGAAATGTGTGTGGTGACAAGCATGCTAATCCCGGCCTCCGTGAACTGGAGCTTAAATATTGGTTGAATCCTAATCAAGTTTATCAAAGTCATCTGAAGGACAGTCAATTTAAGCTGGCCGATGCACGGAGTATATGCTTGTTGGACTGCCCGACTCCTTCGGAAGACTCTTTAAACTGGGTTTGTGACTATCCAGAAGGTGAAATCCGCCTCTCAATGGATGATTGGATAGACAGGAACTATGATTATTTTGAGTTCCTTACGCCTGAGATGAGAAACAGCTCTGTTAACCTTCAGGGTCCTTGTTACCCTGTCATTTTTCCTAGCATAAATGGTAAGTGAGATAGATCTTTCTTGATACTATATCTGTTTATACCGTTAAAACTTCACGTCTAGAATCTTTTGGATGCAGCTAATCTTTCAATCCTTTCTCCTTCGTTTACGACATCCTTTCTCTGCAATGTCTACGTGTTCGTAATGTTCTTTAATTTTTAACCTCTCTTAGAATGGTGCTTTTCTCAGTTTATTGGAGCTGCCAGTTCCTTGCTCGCCCCTCGAACGTATCATTAACACATTGGAAGCAGATGGGTGGAATGAACATAGATGCAGATTTGCTCATAGATAAATCTATTCATAAGTCGACCAACTCTCGGTCATCTGTCTTAAAGGTATACATGAAAAAAAGAAAAAAAAAAACTCTATAAATTGTACTCTCGAGTTGCTAGGCTGTTTAGAATAATGTCTGTAGCACCCTGTCTGAAGCTTCTCTATCATGTCTTAACTTTGTTTGTTGTGTCATACTGTTTCTGAAGTTTAAACTTGTTCTGTTGTACTACTCGTAGCGATACGTGTCGGATATTGGGAAGTCATGGCCAGTATTGATTGTTTGTGGAGGAATCTTGCCTCTATTTTTGGCTGTGATTTGGTTGTTAATGGTTCGACATTTCGTTGCTGCAATGCCGTGGGTAACAGTAGTCCTATTCAACGTTCTTATCGTGGCGGTCACAATGTTTTATTACCTCAAAGGTGAGGAACATGTTTACTCCACCTTTCTACTTAATGTTCAATGATTTCATGTTTCGCTTTCAGTCGAACCTGAAAAATATTTGAAAATCATAGAATTATTGTGCAATTTTCTTATACAAAATCAGAAGTTTATGTCAAACTTCTAAAGGGGACTGCCATCATTTTTCCTTGATTTTTCTTTGACCTCCTTGGGAGACTCATCAGCATTGGTGGTATTTAATTGGAATATGTGAGATTCATATCAGTAGGAGTGGGGAACGAAGCATTTCTTATAAGGGTGTGTAAACCTCTCCCTAGCAGATGCGTTTTTAAAACCGTGAGGAGAAGCTTGAAAGGGAAAGCCCAAAACGGATAATATTTGCAAACGGTGGGCTTGGAATGTCAAAAATGGTATCAGAGCCAGACACTGGGCGGTGTGCCAGTGAGGATGCTGCCCCCCGGGGATGGATTGTGAGATTTCATGTCGGTTGGAGAGGGGAACAAAACATTCATTATAAGGGTGTAGAAACTTCTCCCTAGTAAACGCGTTTTAAAAATCTCGAGGGGAAAACCAAAAGGGAAAACCCAAAGAGGGCAATGTCTACTAGCGGTGGTATTGAGATGTTACAACTGGTATCAAAGCCAGACACCAGGCGGTGTGCCAGCGAGGACGTTGTGCCCCCAAGGGGGGTGGATTGTGAGATCCCACATCGGTTGGAGAGGGGAACAAAGCATTCCTTATAAGGGTGTGGAAACCTCTCCCTAGTAGACGCGTTTTAAAAACCTTGAGAGGAAGCCCGAAAGGGAACACCCAAAGAGGACAATATCTACTAGCGGTGGACTTAGGATGTTACAAAATGGTAACAAAACCAGACAGCAGGTAGTGTGCCAGCGAAGACGTTGGGCCCCCAAAGGGGGTGGATTGTGAGATCCCACATCGAAGCATTCCTTATAAGGGTGTGGAAAACTCTCCTTAGTAGATATGTTTAAAAAACCTTGAGGGGAAGCCCGAAAGGGAAAGTCCAAAGAGGACAATATCGGCTAGCGGTGGGCTTAGGCTGTTACAGAATCCAACTTCTAATATCCTGTTATATTTATCTTACATCAAAGTTCTAATATCCTATTGAATTCCCTGAACCCAAATGTTATGAAGTTGTACTGTTTAGGTTAAAGTTCTTATATTACTGATATTTCATGTTCATATATCAACATTACTAATTATAATCACCTTCACTGCCATAGCTGGATGGATAGGAAATGATGCTATAACTCCCATCATTGGTGAACATGATCCCTACGTCCACATATTTGGAAGGGTAAGTAACTTAACCTCGTGCGCCTTTTGGATAAAAATCTCATCTGATTCGATCACCCAATAGGATTTATTGTTCAGGAGCTCAATCATATGCGCGCTGCTGCTGTTCTAATGACCTTCGTTATGGTAGTTTCTGTTCTTACATCGATCGCCATCATCCGCCGAATCATAATGGCAACGTCTGTCCTAAAGGCAAGTACTATACTGGTTGTAAGTTTTTGACGTTTGATTTCTTCGTCTATATGTCACTTATTTCCGCGCATTTCATCGAGGCACGCTTAGTTTATTTCATTTTGGTTTATATTACTCTGTATGCAGGTAGCTGCAAAGGTGATTGGAGAAGTTCAAGCACTCATAATCTTTCCAATCATACCTTATGCTATCCTTGCAATTTTTTACATGTTATGGTTGTCAGCTGCTCTTCATCTCTTTAGCTCCGGTCGAGTTGTCCAGAATAATTGCAACTCGAACTGCTGTGCTTATGATCTTGCTTCGAAACGAGTGAACTGTGACCGTTGCTGTGGTTATAGCCTCCGTTATACTCCTCATATCGACATTGCCATCTTTTTTCACCTGTTTGGTTGCTATTGGGCTACTCAATTTTTTGTAGCATGCTCTTCAACAGTCATTGCAGGTTCAGTGGCCTCCTATTATTGGGCTCGTCGCGATACTTCGGTAAGTTACTAACGGTGTGGCAACATATCCGACGATACAAGGTTGCTATTGTTTCCTTCTCAAAGACTCATTGTTTCTGGTTTAATGCAGCCTGAAATACCATTTCTTCCGGTTTTCGCCTCAATGAAACGGCTAGCAAGATATAACCTTGGGTCCATGGCTGTCGGTTCCTTGACCGTGTCCTTTATGGAATCAATTCGTTTCTTACTCGAGTCTATTCGTCGCAAATTGAAGGTTGCAAGTATCGCACCAAATAGCTGGATTGGCAGAGCAGCACATAATACGTCTCGGTTTTGCCTGAGATGTATAGAGTGGATTATCAAATCCGTTAACCGAAACGCGTATATCATGGTAAGTTTATTTTCATTTACTTGGTCTCTTTACCTGTTCATCACTGATTGCAATATGGTAGCTATTCTGATTCGTGCAGATCGCGATAACGGGCAAGAGCTTCTGCAAGGCGTCTGCTATCGCAACCGAGTTGATTATTAACAACATCCTTCGGATCGGCAAAGTGAATGTGATTGGAGATGTCATTCTGTTTCTTGGAAAACTGTGTGTGAGCCTCGCAAGTGCTCTTTTTGCTTTCCTCATGTTGGATACTCACAAATACAGATCTGCTCATAACAAGATTTCTTCCCCATTGTTTCCAGTCCTGGTAAGTTTTTGTTCTTGATTCACTTGATTCATATTCTTAGTAGATAAAGAGGCTTTTTGAAACGCTTATGACAGGTCAGGTCGGGTTGTAACAGTCCAAACCCATCACTAGTAGATATTGTCCTCTTTGAGCTTTCCCTTTTAAGCTTCCCCTCAAGGTTTTTAAAACATGTCTATTTGGGAGAGGTTTCCACACCCTTATAAGGAATGTTTCGTTCCCCTCTCCAACTGACGTGGGATCTCAAAATCCACCCCTTTGGGGGCTTACTGTCCTCGTTGGCACACCACCTGTGTCTGGCTCTGATACCATTAGTAGATATTGTTCTCTTTGAACTTTCCCTTTTAAACTTCCCTTCAAGGTTTTTAAAACGCATCTGCTAGGGAGAGGTTTCCGCACCTTTATAAAGAATGATTCGTTCTATTTTTCAACCGACGTGAGACCCTCATAATCCACTCCCCTTTGGGGCCCAACATCCTTGCTGGCACATTGCCTTGCGTCCACCCCCCTTTGGGGTTCAACCTCCTCACTAGCACATCACCCGTTGTCTAAGTCTAATACCATTTGTAACCGCCCAAGCCCACTACTAGTAGATATTGTCCTATTTGGACTTTTCCTTTCGGGTTTTCCCTCAAGGTTTTTGAAACGCGTCTACTAGGGAGAAGTTTTCACACTCTTGTAAACAATGTTTTGATCTCCTCCCCAACCAATGTGGGATCTCACACGGGTAATATTGCAACTTTTAAGAGAACAGAGATATTTTTGAAACCAACAGACAAACATCGTATGTCTTTTTTTTCTAGCCTTGTTTTTTTATAGAAAACCATTAACCGTGCTAGAATGCAAATAGCTCGACCCTTTATTTTGAAAATTTCAGTCATTTCTTTAACATATCAAACAATGTATAATTTGAAAACTTCGATAAACAAAAGATTCAAGTTCATACATATGATCCCATGGCTAAACCGTAACAACTCCTCATTCGATCCGTTACTCGTTTCGAAATGACAGGTTTGCTGGGGACTAGGCTATGTAGTAGCCACACTTTTCTTTGGAGTGGTGGAGATGTCCATTGACACAATAATCCTCTCATACTGTCAAGATTCAGAAGAACATCAAGGCACAGCTCAGTATGCCCCTCCTCTCCTCATGGAGACACTAAATGATCAAAATGAGATGCAGAGACTTACACAAGGACCTCCAAGCTCATGAACTCTCACCTTTACCATTTCTTGGTCTTAGTTCTTTAGCTGTAAATAATATAATCATAGGCAGGGAATACGTTTAGGCCGGGGTCAAAAATGATGAGCTGGAATTCCTCCCTAGAACTCGATCTCCGAACTTTGGACATTATATTGTCTCATGTTTTTTTTGCATGAAGTTGATTTTTTTTTTCCTTTTCCCTTTGGAGCAGTTGGAAGGATTTTTTTTCCTCTACACCATTTGTTAGGTTTAACATTCACAAGTTTTAGATTCTAAATCTGTGCAGCTGTGTTGCCTGTAGCCATTGTCAGATGTCCTGGTCATATACTTGTCTAGGGCGTGTTATTCATGGTCGTATTCAAGGTCATTCTTGTTTAAGGTGTGTTGCCTGTAGCCATTGTCAGATGTCTTGGTCAAATACTTGTCTAGGGCGTGTTATTCATGGTCGTATGCCTCTTTTAACCCCTTTTACTAGCATTCATGTGTAGTTAGGTCTTTACTATTCCTGTCATGTTAATATGAAAGTGTATGATCATTCATGAAATCACATCTACACCTGTTAAGGCTAAAATGCCCAAAAATGTACTATAGGAGATGTGATTAGTTGTCAATTCTTCCTATCCAGGCTATATGCTATCCAAGGATATGATTGTTGTTTATTCGCTTTTTAGCCTATAACATTGCTTTCTTTCAAACTATGTTTAACGCATTTCCTTGCTCAAGTTTCATAAAATATTTTCGGTCAAACATGACTCAAGACTTGATTGTACATGTGACGACTGACTTGTTCGCCGGTTAGAACAAGTGTTGCACAATCACTGTCCCACGGCCGTAACAGTGTGATTGTGATGAAGAACAAATGACCCTTTTGTTGGGTTTTATGTCCTAAAACTCATAGTTTGTAAACAAAGATATATTCTATTTTCAATAAAGTTATTATTGATGTTTATTCAGTAAAAATTGTTATTGAATAACGTGAACTTTACGATCATTAATCTAAATCCAATAAACTAAGAACACTCTGGCTATAGTATGATTACTTGAACTATATGTAGAGACATAAGAGTGGATCAAGTTCAAGTATATAGTCAAAATGATCTATAGTATAAGGATAAGGCTGAGTACCTTATTCTGGGGACACTATGGATGCGGCCCACTTTTGTATATGATATAAACAATGTGATCACTAAATTGTGCATGTGGAGACATGTGAGTGGGGGCGTCCTATGCAATGAGTATTGCATAAGATCGGACCATGAAGAAAACCACTCTCACTTTATAAAGTCGTTTACTGTTGAGACTGATTTTCTTTTCATTCGATAACCTAGGTAACTCGGTTTTAATCCTGAGCTAACCATGAACTCCTGTTTATTCGGAATTATCCTTAGATTTGCATGGGTGAGAGTGGCTCTAGTTCGCCGACTCAACAGGCCTCCCATTTCAGGGGTAAGACTGGGTGAATGGCTGGGGATGTGGGGTGCAAGACGGAATTCACTCCTACCCACTTAGGGATAGAAGAAAGGTAGTTCCCTTAAGCACTGACTCCAGGTCTTGAACAAGGGGCCCCACCCTCTCATTGGCCTGAGAGGGATTTGGTTTACTGGTTGGACCACAAACCAATTGTTCATTAGAGGATCAGTGAGACATAAGGAACAAGAAGTAACTTCAGGGGTAAAACGGTAAATTGACCCAGCTCTAGTTACGAACAACCTGTGAAGGATCGACTTACTAATCATGGTTATATCAGATGGACAGAAATATATCTATAGTGAGGGGAGTGCAACTACTAGGCTATAGTGGAGTGTCCTAGTAGTTAACGAATGTTGGTTAACCAGGTTAATGAGTTTAATCGGTTAATCTTGGATCGTTGGAGCCCATGATCTATAGGTCCATTAGGTCCCTCTGCTAGCTCATATCGGACTAAACCATAGAACAATGTGACGAGTGAGTTCGAAGTGTTCGAATTCAAATTAGGGAATATGCGTTACATATATACGATATATTTAACCGCAATTTTGTTTTATTTACGAATTAAACGAAAAGAGAGAATGTGAGATATTTAAATAAGATTTAAATATCTTAATCAATTATGTGTCGGAATTGATTGGGATTGGCATTTGAATTAATTAAATAGTTTAATTAATCATTTAATGTTACTTTAATTTGAAATTCATTATTCAAATTAATTGTTGAATTAAAATGAAGAAAGTCAAAATGTTGACTTTCATATAATGGAAAAATCCATGTTAGTGGAATTTTGAGGTGTCAAAATTTGGTTTAACCAAACTTGCATGTTTGCCAAATAAACCCCACAAGTTTGAGTGGAATTTTGAGTGTCAAAATTTGGTTAACTCAAACATGCATGCTTGCCACATAATCCCAAACTCTTGAGTGGAATTTGAAGTGTCAAAATTTGGTGATCTCAAGTTTGCATGAACATGCAAACTTGACTCTTTAAATAGAGTGATCATGATACTTGGAGGAAATTCTTAATCTTGATGAAAAACCTTGAGAAAAACTTCTCACAAACACTCTCTTTCACATATACAAAATCCCTCCCAAGTTTAGTCACTCACCGGATTCCACAATCCCGTTCTAAGGCCGGAGGATAGTGGAGAAGACACTAGTGGTGGTTCGAAACCGGTTCGTGAGGAAAAAGGAGTTTGAACTACAAAAGGTTAGTATTTAAACTCATTAAGTTTTAATACTTATGAACATGCTAGTGATTTACAATAATTGATGTTCTAAAAGTGCCTAAGATCCAAATTGCTTCCGCATGTGTTATACTAACACCATCACCTTTAATGTTCGAGATGGGTTTTTGTTTTTTGGTTGGATGGTTTTCAAACTAAAATCTTTTGTAATAATTGACATCATGTTAATCTAAGTTACATTGAATAATCCTTGCACTTGGGAAGGATCTTGCCTGATATTTCATGCAACAGTCTCAGGAACTAAGGCAATAACCTCACACAATGTTGGCCTCCGGACTCTTAGGCCGAACCAATGTCAATGCTTTTGTTGCTTTAGCATTCTCTCCTCCAAACTCAGCAAACTCCCTACCCTATAAAATGCAAAAGAACTCACTCTGAGAAGCACAGGAAAGTACTTGATTTCTTCCTGAAATGGTAGATTTCAAGAAAATGGCTGTCACAAAAGATAGTATCTTGGTTAGTCTCTTGATGTTGCTCTGCTTAAGCCACAGCTCCGCCAACCGAGTTCTTAAAGACAACGATTCTGAAAACGAATCAATAAATAACAGTGTATCTTTTGGACAAGAGTATGAACTTCACAATTTCATCCATGCTGAGCTAAATAATATAGTACCAGAAGGTAGCATACCGAAATTTAGATCGTACCGCGACTGCTGCAACCATGGCAACCATGGTGGAGGATATGTGTGTCCTCCAAACCACGCCTGTGGCAGAAACTCTGGTTGTCGACCCTATTACAGTTGTTCGTCGTGTCAATGGCGGAGATACCTGGTATTACCTCCGCCCTGTGGCTGCGCAGTCGGCAAGAGTTACTCTATGGTCCAAGAATCTATTCAAACGTCTGAAGCCGATCTAGATGGAAACGTTCCAGCAGTAGAGCCAGCAAATCATAACATAAAATCCAGTGGGGGAGCAAATCAGAACATGAAATCCAATGGTGGTCTGGTTTAGAGTTTGTACCTCAAAGAAATGTCTTCTTGCAGCTTTCAATAAAAGCTTCCTAATAAACATATGAAATATGGAATATCTGGGAACTCTCTTCTATTATTGTAGTCTATAACTTTCCTACATTGTCGGGAGAATATATTACAATACAAGCAGCTTCATGTCCTGTTTTCTACGAATACAAGCTCAGTATCCTATAAACAAATATCTAGGCTCACATTTTGAACACTTTAATCTTGTCGATTATGTTTGTACTAACTTCTTTACTCAAGTTTATGCTAATTTATATGATATTTCTATAGCTCTGTTTACTAGCTACGTGCTATCTTCGTACCGGCATAGATGAGCTTCTTAAAGAGTTTTCGATATCGAAGTTTTGAGCGACAGGTGAAGAAAGGGACCGAGAGGGTTGAAGGCCGGTTTTTACCCCACGTGATGTATCATTAGCAACAGAGAGGGATGCATTCACTGGAGTAGGTGGCTGCAACTCGATTTCGGCATAGCCATTGACAACTTTGGGTGTATCAGGATTGTCGTCGTCCTCTAGTGACATCACGGTGCTTGTTTCTGTGTTGAATGTGGCATCATCAGTAAATATCCGGAGCCTTCTCTTCCTTCTAGCTGACTTACCCCACCCATGGATTGTTTCTCTTATCCTTTGTGGAATTAAGGCAGCCTTGTAGTTTGTTCCCATCTGCAAAAGAAACATAAAGGAAAGAGACAGCAAGTTAGAAACATAAAGCAAAAAAGGAATGAATAGGTGAGATCCAACGTCGGTTGGGGAGGAGAATGAAACATTCTTTATAAGGATATGCCCGAGTGATGTGTCAGCAAGGAGGCTGAGCCCCGAAGGGGATGGACACGAGACCGTGTGCCAGCAAGGACGCTGGGCCCCGAAGGAAGGTGGTTGGAGGGTCTCACATCGATTGGAGAAGGGAATGAGTGCCAGCGAGGACGCAGAGTCCTGAAGGGGAGTGGATTGTGAGATTCCACGTCGATTGGGGAGGAGAAAAACGAAGAATTCTTTATAAGGACGTGGAAACCTCTCCTTAGCAGATGAATTTTAAAAACCTTGAGGGAAAGTCCAAAGAGGACAGTATTTGCTAGCGATAGGCTTGAACCGTTACAGAATCACAATCAAGGGGAAACCACGAATGGAAAACGATGGCCATTAGATAGTGTCACTAACGTTAATCCTCCAATGGACTACTGACAAGATAAAGTTCCACTAGAACTACTCTTGCCATTGCTTCTACACCCATTTTCCCTTACAAGAGCGGACTCGACTCAAATAGCAGCATCCCGTTTCTTTTCTACTACCTGAAGCTTCGATACATTTCAAGTTTTCGTGTATGCATATATGTTCATGATTCAGAAGATCTATCCAGGAAGAAACTCAAAGAACGACAGGAGCCCACCCGAAAAGAACTGATATTATGCCTTACAATACCTGAGTAACCAGTGCATACAAGGGCAAGGTACTATAACTGCAAAGAAACTGTCCAGCAAACCTACAAAAAAGATAAAGCAAAGCAAGTATTTTCAGGATACTTATCACACAACAGGCGACTAACATAGCTATGTATATAAGGTTATGACAGTCCCAATTAAAGATTCATACCCCAAGATCAGCCTTACATAGACAAGCAGATGATTACTAATGAAGCAAGAACTGTATCCAAATTGCCACTGTAGTCAAATTAAACAAGCCAATAATTATGAGAAGGAAAAAAGAATGCCTGGATTACCAAGAAAGGGAGAGAAAAATTCAATAAGTTTTTAAGGAAACTATATAATGTGAGCTCTTGTTCTGTCATTTTGTTGATGAACATCAGAATGTGTTGCTAATGCCACATTCTTCCTATTTCACTAGAATAAATCGGTGAAATACGAAAATTTCAAAGCGGCTTGGTTTCGATTTCCATGGAGATTAAAGAAGCCAGGACTCGTACCCAGAACCAGAAGAACGAAGCCAATTCAAAAGCATTCTGCAAGAAAATTAAGAGAAAAAGGGAAAAAAACTATGAATATAACAGATACATCTTGTTTATTCCGATGCAGAAGTAGATATCAACTTGAATTTGTAGGCAACATTGTTAATCAAGACATGCCTGGAAAAGAACAAAATGGATCAAGGACAACAGGAGTTCAGGCTTCTTAAACCAGAAAAGATCGTCACGAGGCCTCAGCTTTGCTCCAGAAACGAAGCCGGTTATACCAGCATTCTCCAATGTCAAAGTTGCAATAATATGCTGTAACTTTGTGCCTACTAAAAGAACAAGCTGTATATAAAATGAAAAGTGGCCAAAAGATCAGCTGACCATAAACTAGATACATGCTGCAGCTCTTGAGACAGAGGACTCACAGTAACAGGAATAGTTGCTATCCAAAAGTATAGATTAGACCCTGAAAGATGGGAAAAGATATCCAAGCTTATAAGAAGCTAGTTGCAGTTTGAAAATTATGATTAAGGGACACGGTGAAGGACGACTGTCGCTCTCGGTAAATAAATAAATTGTTTAAACGAGAGCAACAAACACAGCGATGCAAACAGAGGTTACCTTTCACATTAAACAGGAGAAATGCAACAACGAATCCCCATAGTGGACCGCTGCAATAAAGTGAAAACAGGATTGGCTTCCTTAATTCCCACGAAATAAGAAATTTAGCTACACTAGGGAATGAAACTCCAGAAACATTATCGCAGGAAACACAAATTTTTCAGTAGATTCTAAAAGTTAATTTCCTAGAAAAAACATAGAAAAGCAAAAAAGAAGAGCATATCGGAACAACATTCTGGGTGGCTTCACATTTGTCTTCAAAAGATTTCCTGTTCAACTCAAAGGACAAACCATTGAAATTAGCACAGAAAATTTGTAACAGCAAAAACCCACTCCACTGCTAGCAGATATTGTCCGCTTTGGCCCGTTACGTATGCCGTCAGCTTCATGGTTTTTAAAATGTGTCTACTAGGGAGAAGTTTCCACACCCTTATAAGAAATGTTCCGTCTCCTCTCCAACCGATGTGGGATCTCACAATTCACCCCCCTTGGAGGCCCAGCGTCCTTGCTGGCACACCGTCGGTATCTGGCTCTTATACCATTTATACCAGCCCAAACCTACTACTAGCAGATATTGTTCACTTTGGCTCGTTATGTATCGCCGTCAGCCTCACGATTTTTAAAACGCGTCTACTAGAGAGAGACTTCCACACCCTTATAAGGAATGTTTCATTCCCCTCTCCAACCGAAGGGGGCCCTACAAAACGCAAATCCCAACAAAGAACGGAAGAGAGCTTCCTTCTTCTGACAATATATTACAAAAAGTAATAGCTGAGCCTGAACTCTTTTATCTTGATAGCAATGACTAGAAAATAGAATTACCACATGCATAGATAGATTCTAAAATTGAAGATAACAGACACTTCAACTACCTCACACCCACTATCCTCTGGAATTCTTCTTCCATCGAACGAACCATGTAGCTATGGAAATCATATTTTGATGAGAGATTGTGATTCTGCAATGAATAAGATGCAGGAAAATCGTAAATACTGATAACTAAAAGATTATATTTTTTTATTGGTGAAGAAGCAGAGGGAGATTTGAAAATGCTACAGCTCTAAAATGTGCGCAAATGGTAAAGACATGAAAGAAAGTTAGCAATCCACACAAATAAGAACTGGCAACAGAGAGGAGATGAAAGAAGAAAGAAAGAAAACTATAACTGGATGGCAACAAATATAAGCCTACAGAATTATAGAGCGCTTAAACATATAAATGTACCATGATGAAGCCTTTGCGAAGTGCAAGGTAGTCAGAACGAACAACAGAACGCCCAAATTGCCGAAAGAAACATGTCTACAGTTACCAATTAATCATTTCAAAGAAGGGTTAATGTCCATATGTATGTCAATAGAAGTATAATTTTAATAGAACACCACTAGTTTCAGTATAGTAGCCCTTTGCAGACAATACACTGTTGAAGTAAGTATCCAAAATGGTGGTGGGTGTATGAATATAGCAGTCATACGGCATTGTCTTAAAGAAAAGAAGTTAAATGCTTACCATCCAAATAAGAACACTCTTCCTGGTTAAAGGATTGGAGGTGTGATATTGTACAAAGGTAGATTGTCTCTGCATTATCTTTTTTCTCGTAGTATCTATAATAACAGCAGAGAAATAATCGTCATTTCACCAAAAGTAAAAATCCGAACCATCAAGAGAATACAAAAGGTGGTCATGCTAAATACCGTAGTATCAATTACAAAGTAACTAAAACACAAAAATGAACCCTTAGAACAGATAGGTGCTGTTCATGAACGTTCGTTGAGAACTCTCAGGTGTTGTTGATACTTTGCTACGAATATGAGGAAATAAGGACCAATAATTACTAAAATAATATAAGGACATTTATGCTGAAGGACAATAAAAATTAGATCCAAGCATACATTATCACTTAGAACTACAAGCTAGCTTATTAATAGATGCTCCTTTTTGCATGTTTTTGTCTCTGAACAATCTGAAACTTATGTGGCTGAGCAAGATGGTTTAGGGGAGCACAAATTGAAGTCCCTCAGAATAGATATGAATAAGGGATCCTTCAGAAGTTCAGATGTAATATATCATACACGTTTAAAATGATTCAGTTGGAGAGAAGAACGAAACATTCCTTATAAGGGTGTGAAAACTTCTCTCTAGTAGACGCGTTTTAAAAATCTACAAGGAAAGCCTAAAGAGGATAATATCTGCTAGCGGTGAGCTTTGGCTATTACAAAAAAGGACATGGTAGTGTTGTGGCCGTTGGATAAAAAGGTTTTTCAAGTGTATTTGAACTGAAATCTGATATGGTGGCTGGTGGTAGGGGCTAGGCATGGTTGGAGATACCCTCCAAAGTTCTGGGTTTGAACTCCCAGATAGCTTGTGAACCCGTTTAGTGGCTAAGATAAGATAACATAAACTAGAGTTAAATGCTAAGAAGCACATGTAACATAATCATAGAGCTCACCACTGAATGAATCATGGTGGTCCATGTGAGCTTCATTTTCCCATACTCTCCAACTGTGGATCTGGTCAAATTATCAAATGTCAACCATCAGAATAAATATATCTTCTATAAACTTTTAAAGAATGCAGACATTTTATTTCATAATAGAGGAATAGTCAATGCCTCTAATTAAAAAACTAAATCTCACATTCAACACTGGCACAAATAGATATTGGATTGAATATCAGATAAATCGATTTCACTTTCATCTAATAAGAAGTAAAGTTAGGAATGTTCGATGCACGGCAAGCAAATTGTATCATGATGCAATTCACTTTACAAAGATAGTGTAACAGCTCAAGCCCACCACTAGCAAATGGCTTTCCCTTCCGGACTTCCCCTTAAAGTTCTAAAATGCATCCACTAGGGAGAGGTTTCCATACTCTTATAAGAAATGTTTCGTTCCCTTCTCCAACCGATGTGGAATCTCACAATCCACCCCCTGTGGGGCCCAACATCCTTGCTGGCATACCGCCCGGTGTCTGGCTCTGATACCATTTGTAACAGCCCAATCCCACCGCTAGCAGATGTTATCTTCTTTGGGTTTTCCCTTCCGAACTTCCCCTCAAGGTTTTAAAATGCGTCAACTAGGGAGAGGTTTTCACACCCTTATAAGGAATGTTTCGTTCCCCTCTCCAACCAATGTGAGATCTCACAGATAGAAGTCAGAATGATCCATATTACGCTTAACCATCAAAAGAACAGCATTTCTATTGTTCTTCTCCCAAATCAACACCAAATAAAAGATTCCGAAAGTAAAAGAAAAAAAAAAGGGTTTAATCTCTATGATTTTAGAGAATGCAGCAAACTGCTTGAGGAAGAAAATCTATGATTGAAAGAAAGTAAATCAAACTATCCATAAAATCTGTTTGCAAAATTTTTTGTAAACTGATTAAGTTTTCATCAAGGTTTAATACAAAATGAGCATGAAAGAATATCTAACCTTCACAATTGCCAGCAACATTGTCAAGCAACTATAAAATATATGAGTTACTGCCATTATAAAGATAAAGCGATGCAATTGTTCGAGACCTTCATAAGAAACAAATGGCTCATGACCCTGCAAAATGAGGAAATTTCAAATTTCAATGGACTATTGGGTGGAAGAAGAAACGTTTCGAGAAAAAGAAAAAACCATAACGTGCCTCTTTGCAAGTATTTTTGTTCACAGTTAACATCCTCCTATACAAATGTGGGAAAACAGACACCATATATAGCTTTCGCTTCTCAGATGAACTATTATCCTCATTTTGTTCATCAATCTCTGACTGAGTGCATGGAGTGAAAGAGGTATCATAAAACTTGGATGGAACGCAGATATTCGATATCACGCTAGACGTTGCTGTCAGAAGCAAAGAAATGAATCCAAGCAGCATTAACTCTGCAAAGCCAAACAATTGCATTTATATGAGAAAAATGGAGATCTATTACTGAATTCAAATGAGAACCAGGCATCATCTTAAGCTATTCTTATTCGAAGTGATCGAGCAAATAAATAGGCCGGTTACCTTCTTTCATTTTCTCCACTGCCTCAAATAAAGGCTTTCTATGAGTTTTTCCCAGCCACTGAAAAAGTGAAAGTAACAAGCTCGTATCAAGATTAGGATAAAATCTATAACAGCTCAAGCCTACCGCTAGCAGATATTGCCCTCTTTTGGGCTTTCCCTTTCGAGTTTCCCCTCAAGGTTTTTAAGACGCGTCTGCTAAGAAATACTTCATTACAGTGGTATCAAAGCCACACACCACGGTGTGCCAATGAAGACGCTGGTTATCCCCATAAGAGTGTGGAAACCTCTCTTTAATATATGTGTTTTAAAACCTTGAAGGGAAGCCCGGAAGGGAAAGCTCAAAGTGGACAATATCTGCTAGCGGTGCGCTTGAGTTGTTACAAAAGAATCACGGAGAAAATGTCTGGAGTCTCTGAAATCTTTCTTAGCCAGATTATGTATCTTCTCTAGAGTAGAATCACACATGTAAGCACAAAAGCATACAGATATTTCTTGAGTAGTACAAACCTTAGCATCTTCAATATCCAAGAACAATGTAAAGCTAAGCTGGCAAACACTCAGAGTCTAAAACATTTTCACAACAAAATCCAAGTTCCAGACATATTTCATATAGTACATGAATTTGCATAAACAGGGGAAGTCCAACATCTAAAATAAGAACTCCAACCAAGTTAATCATGCTATTTTTGTCTAGTGAACAGGCCAGATTCTTTGTTTAAAGCATAACAATCAGGGTCCAGAAATACACTTACAGAGCTTAGCCTATGGATGGACCGCTCAACAAGCAATGAAACAGCCACAAAAATTGTCAATACAGAAGCAACAGACCATGTGGGCGTCAAAGCCAGAGATCGCCCCTCTGGGTCAGCATTTTCAGCCATTTCCAACAAATCTCAAACACTATCAGTATCAGCAGACTTCGCCAGTATCTTCCTGGCACTCCAGTTTGACAAACAAAACAGCTTATTTGATCCTGAAATCGATCCAACAGAAGAAAACTCCTGAAAGAACAAACTATCATGTTTCGAGGGAACAAGAAGAACCCATCGGTAAATGCTTTTAACTCGATCCGATGTACTCAACTTTGCCTGAGATCCCCTTCAAATCCCACTGACATTCCTAAAAAATATCAAGAAATCGCCTCTCAAAAGTCCCACTCAGCTGCTTTTTACAATACCTCTGGCAGAACAGATGCGAAAGATACAAATCCAAATCAAAGTGGCAGCTGATTCCAAAAATAAACAATATATAAATGTACAGCCATGGGGTTAGGAGGTTTATTAATAGACAAATGGCAACCCCATGTGCACAAACTTCTTGGGGTTGACAAAGCCGCAGCTTCCTAGTAGTGTTAACTCCCCATCAGAAAATGAAGCATCATCCTAAGAACAAAGCCAGTGAAATTTATGAAGAAAAGGAACCAAATAAGAAAGACCCAAATGACATAAATGCAAGAAAACTCACACACATGCCAGGAGAAATCTCATCAATGTGATTATGATTGTTTCTTTGGTTTCTTTCGCTTTTCACTTCCCACAACTCCGCGAATCGAGGAAGCAGTAAAATGTTGAAGAAATCCCTTGTTTCTTACAAAGTTCAAATGGGAACTTTTGTGAATTGGACGTGTTGAAAAGAACAGAGAAAAGGGAATACTGTAGAACACTATTGAAGTCCAATAATTAAGGAGGGGATTGAATGCGATGTGGATGTGATGGGGTTTGAGGGCCAACAGCTCTTTGCTTCCCCGTTTCTGCAACCATAAATTTGATGTTGCCATCGCCATGGCCGACTCCGCGTTTTGCCTTGGAAGCATCATGAATGAATTTGGGGTATCTTGTGCTTTGCTTACTTTGAAGACCATCGTCCACGTTTAATGGACCCCTTGCAGCTGCTTCATTCCTCACACTTTCGTTTGGAAGCATATTTTTCATTCAAGAACTGGATAGAACTTGAATCCACCCAATGAAAAATATAAGAACAAACTAATTTAATATCGATGTTATGGGTAGGATTCAACGAGGTTGCATGTGCAATCCTTTGACATTAAGCTACCAATTATGATTGTGATTATGAAAGTGATATAAGAAGCCATTAAGCTTGGCTAAGGTGGTTCATACATTCCATCAAAAAGTTATCATATTAGACGTCATTCAGTATTGTCGAGGCTGCAATGAATGCAAGGAAATGTCTAGGAGCGTCGATACGATACAATGAATCTAGATTTTGAATATTAGTGCAAATCATATGAAAGTTTTGTTGGAAGACTCGTATCTTAGATTTGCTTCGTATCAAATATGTTTAATCTTAAGATTCTCGGTGAATAAGACGTTTAAGAAAGAGCACCTTATTGGTTCAATCATATAAGTGGTAATCATTGAATCTAGGTAGGATCTTTGAAGTCTGAGCTCATCCACGCCACTAGTCTCAGTCATGTTGCGTCTCTCATCTCTAAAGCACTTAACTCCTTTTTCGCCTAAAATGTTCTTAAAGTGACTTTTTCTTCCCAATTTTTTTCAATTACACAAGAAGTTCGTCACACATCTCCATGTGTTCACCACACGCCTTCCTCCTTCGGCCGCATGCACGTGAACCCCACGCGCATGTCAACTCCTTCTTCGTGTACTTCCTGCGTTTTCCAGATATTTTCATTAATACCCAACACGTCCCTCGTATAGAAATTCAAGGTATAGTTGTTATTTTCACGCGATTTCTTCTTCAATATTGTAGATCTCACTTCCACAAACCTAACGAACTAAATTTCAACTACATTCGTACGAGACTAAAGCATAAAGTCAAGAGTCTCATGGGTTTGTTATCTTCCAAGCTCAGGCTCCTTCCCAAATCAACACCTCATCCTCATAATTTGGTTCTTATGAACATAAATCGTGCATCCATCATCTACGCCCACGCTCGAATCCTTTTGTATTTTAACTCGAGCTCAAGCATACAAAATACAAAAAATAATATATATATATATATATATATTCTCCCCCCCTTAAAAAATGGAAAATCACATGTTACCCAAAAAACAAAAAAAAAAATCAATATTTTATCTTTGACTTTTATCCTGGGTCAACATCTCAATTTCTTTCAAAAAGAATTAATTATATTTTTTTTAACTATACACATCCATTACTAATAAACAAAATAAAATGATTAATATTATAATATATAGTTAGGTAACATATAGTCCCTTAAAAACTAAGATCTAAACAGACATTTTATTCTTAAAAAAATAAACAAACAAACAACCAACCAACAACCAACTTTATGTTTTATGTCCACAATCACAATCATTAAACTTCCATATATACAACCACAACGTCAACATTAGTTAATAAAATTCAACCCAAATTCCCAAATTCTTGCCTTTAAATTTTAAAAAATAAGTTTCAAAATTACTTGAGAATTGTTCGTATTTTGTTTTCAAATATACGATTGAGCTTTCTAATGTTTTGTTAATATCCTTAGACTTTTAAAAAAATTTTGAAAAAAATACCCTCATCGTTGTCGTGTTTAAAAAATATTTAAAAAATATTCATGAACATGACCATAAGAGAAAAAGAAAGTGATTTTTTCTACCTCTTGATAATAATTTTTTTAAAAAAATAAAATAAAAAGATTGGGTATTTAAATTAAATTTTAGTAAAAGTATTTTTTTTTTAAATTTAAGAACATTTTTAGATTTTAGTACAAATTTTAATGATTTTTTTTTATTGATTTAGCTTATATTTAAGGAATAAAAATGATTCAAAAGTCAAGTCATTAGAAAGAGGAAATTTGAAATCAAAGCATTAAATATATTAGTGATTTTATTCTATTTGAATAATAATAATAAAATAAATACTTATTCATTACCAAACTCATAGTCTAATTTATTAAATAAGATATCAATTATTATTGTAGCAGTGGATTATTAAATTCTTCATTTCATACTCTTTCGTATAAATCACGTACTCAAATATATAAAACCAAAAGAGATAATAAATTTGAAAGGAAAATGGTTTATTTAGGGCTCGAGAGATGGAATAGATAGGGCCCCACAAATTTTGAATCCACGGTTGAAAAATTTGCATGAAAGGGAACAATGAACGATAAAAAAAAGTATCATGTAAACCGAGCATAGAAAAATAGTGTACTCTTGACCATTCTACACGCTACCTAACAAAAGCGTTGCTTTCTAATCTAGTGGATGTTGAACGTGCTACCTTATTAACTAAGGGAGCAAATGCAACTATTACATAAAACTCTTTCTTTTGGATGCTGTTGGCTACTACACAACTATTTTACATAATAAATAAAATAAATATTTTATATCTTCAAAATAAAATAAAAATATATTAAAAATTATTGAGAACCAGTAGGTTAATTAAATGTATTGATCAGATTATTTGTAATTTTTTTAGAAAAAAAATTACAAATATTTTTATTAATTTAATGGAATTGATAGCAAAAGAAGAAAAACAAATATTATTGAGAGAGAGAAAAGAGAAAGTCGGAAGCATATTCTCTCTCAAAATTGAACTTTCGGCATATTGAAGCCAAACTTCCTACTCTCTCCAGAAATCGAGGAGGATTTTGCAGTTTCTTTTAAAAGTCAGAGCTCAAGGATCTCAATCCGCAGGTTTTTTTTTTTTTTTTTTTTACCTATTCTCATTTTGTTTTGTCCAACTGATTCATATATACTCTGTCAGCGTAGTGTTTTTCGTTCTGATTGTTCTTAGTGTGCGTCTACTTTCTGAGGTTGGCGTAGAACAAGATCTGAGTTGTCATGAAATCGATTATGATGCGTAATGTCTGACGAAAAACCGGAGGATCTTGTTTGGTATGTTGTATAATTTTCACCGAAATTATACTAGTTTATTTGTTGCTGAAGGCCCAAATTCCCTCTATAATCTTCGATTCTGTGGTCGAGGAATTTACTTTTGTTCAAATGTGTGGATGGAAGTACGAAATTTGAGGTTCTTTTTGGGAATCATTATTCCGATTTTCAATTTGGACTTGTTGGTGAGCTGATAGCGGAATTTGACTCTTTCTTAGCAATTTCTGAAAGTGCGAGCTTCTTTTAGGGAACGAAGAACTTTCATATGGTGTTTCGGGTGAAAGTTGTTCCTTAGTTTTGAGATGAGATTAACAAAGACACGGATGTTAGGTCCAACTCCAAAATTATGATTAATAGTTCGTGGATTTTGCATAGGCGTCCTCGTGGGATAATGGTTTTTTGCGGATTATTCTTTATTTTTTCAGACATGTCGTCTAAATCTTTTCATCTTTGTTGTGAAATTCCCTTACTTGAAATGAAAAATCAGAATATGTTATTTGAGAGAGTTCTTGAAGTCCAATTTCTTATTCCATCTCTCTCTCTAACGCGAGACTCCAATTTCGTTTCCAATACACTTCTCTCTCTCATTGCCGTTCCATTTGTCATGGAAGTAATTTATTCGTAACTTTTTCTGCAGAAAAGTTAGTGACCGGCACTTAAAAGCTTCGTAATCATCACTCTTGCCTCCTATCTCTCTCTTTCTGGCGGCTAACTAACATTCCCTCTCATCCCTCTCACTGAAGTTATTTAATTGTAAGTTTTCTGCAGAAAAGTAAGTGACCGGCACTGAAAAGCTTTGTAATTATCACTCCCCCCCCTTCGTCGCCTTCCATGCTTGGTCGCCTGTGTAATCCTCAATCTCTTGCATGCTGTGTAATCCTGTGTAATCCTCAATCTCTTGCATGCTTGGTCGCCTTCCAGACATTGCAATCATGAAGCCTCATTTCTCATCTTTATGAACACCATCGTTCGTTTTCAAATTCATCCCTGTTATTTTTGTTAGTAACATTGGTTGTCTGAATCAATTAATCATACTCGTCTCATCTGATTTTAAGCACGAACCAACTTTGACCTTTGCGTCTACTTGAAACCTTTTTAGTGCTCTTGAGATGATATTTTGTCATTATCTTTGAGGTAATTTACTGCATTCTAATTGTTTCTACTGTTTTTATTGATTTTTGCAGGAAAAAAAAGTTGCATTTCTTCCAATTTTGAATAACTTGTGCGGGTGTCATTTGTCCCATCTGATGATTTGTTTCCAATCCTTGTACCCATTAAGGCTGAAATTCTTTTCAGGAACACCCTTTTTGTACTGTATTTCCCATATTTTCCTCCCTTCTGATGTGTTCTTTATTTGTTGCTTTAATTGCTTGAGATTTCGCCTAAAAATTTGACAACGCTTACGTGTTGGCTATAATTGGTTACATCTATCAGCGCCTCTGTTTTCAGCTGGGAGTCAGTTTTAACTGTATTTCAGTGGGATTCTTATTTGAAATTTCATTCAAGCTTGGAAAGTCAGAAATTTGACTGAAAGTATGGCTAAATGGCTTCATTCAACCTCATTTGCGGACTTGCCTTCACATTTAATTTTCGAAGTTCTAACCTCTGGCCGGCTTAGTGCTCGTGATCTTGTTTGCTTGGAGTTGACTTGCAAGATGTTTGGAGGAAGCCATGAGTTGTACCCCCTCAAGTTTCGATCATTAGTTGATTTTGCAGCATTTCAATTATGTATATCACACAGCATTTATTCCAGAATGGGAGGGGATTCCCAGAAAAAACTCTTTGATCGCTGTCAAGGGAAGTGGAAACGGGTTTTTAGGTTCTTGCAATTGGTGGAAAAATCTTCCAACATTGTTGAGACCTCAGAAGGCAATGTATTATTTCTTCTAGAACTATTGCTTTTCTTTTTAGTTAAATTACTGTACTTGTGAATGTGCCTGGATTTTGCATACCTAAATATCTAGCTATTTATTGGGCTTTGAAATTTCGTTGGATGGAAATTGGATTTTAAAATTGAATTTGTGCATATCTGAGAAATATAGTTGATGTTAGGTTTTGCACTTTGACAAGAAAGTGACGTGATTCATAGTTTATAGTTTGCCTCTCAAGGTTGGCCTTCTTGGTTATTCTTTCGTCATCAATATCTTTTAATTTGCTGGTTTTCCATGTGGCTACATTTGATGCCTTTTGATCAAGATCGCAAAACATAAAGTAATATAGAGGTTTGGCCCCTGATTTAGTTAAAATGTTAATAGTTGTGAATATTTCTTCTTGTTTTTTTTTTTTTTTTTTAAATAGAGTGGAGAACTTGTTGATGAGACAATAGGATGGGTTTTATCTAGATATGACCTTACTTGTTACTAAGTAGTACATGTAGAGTTTGCATTGTTCTATTGAACGAGCATAGTAGCTAACAATGTCTTTTACAGTCATAGGTAATGCTCCTCTACTCAACCTGTAAGATGTAAAAATAAATAAATAAATAAAAAATCTCGTGTCGAAGATATGATTTTGATTGTTTGCTGTCGATTATACTTCTTATTTGTGGAAGAGAATTTGAAGTTATTTCCTATTTATTTTATAGCAGATGCAGATTGCAACTGGAAGATATCATACATTACTGATTAGCAAAGCATCAGTATACTCATGTGGTTCCAGCTTATGTGGTGTTCTTGGCCATGGCGCTGAGACCACACAATGTGTATCATTTACCCGAATTAACTTTCCACCTTCT